CGGTGGGAGGCGAGGGCTGCCCCGGCAGAGGGGCTCGGGCGCTGCCCCCCGGCTTCTCTCGCTTCCCTGATACGGGCGGCTTCATCCCAGCAGAACGGAAATTACCACTTTTTAATAGGTGTGCGCTGTCGTACTCCCACGAAAGAAAAAGAAGAGCCCTAAGTTTCACCGAGACAGAAGGTTGTGTAGATCTAAGGAAATTTTTCCCCTTCTATAGACTTCAGATGCATTTCCTTATCTTTCCAATTATTCAGTGTGTTGCATCTCTGCTAATTACGATACCCTACTGAGGAGCCGTTGCATCAGGCCCAGCAGTCCAGTACATGGACTGAAGATTGGCACGGTGTTACTAATTACTCCTGGATGCAGGCTCCAATCCTGCAAAATCATACACCTACCCAGCGGTGCGTGGGGTTTAACATTCACTACCTGAAGAGATTTACATCAAAGCGACATTTTTCAGTGTAACTGCCTCATAATTGGCACAAAACACAGGCATGGTAATAAACAGCCTTTTGCTTCACGACAGGTCACTGCTTCGATATGATGGAGGGGCGGCTGAACGGCACGGCGGCTCTTGCCGTGTGTCTGCATGCTGCTGCTGGGGCCGGTCTTTGCTTCGTGGGATTATGCCTGTAGCTCCTGGTTGGATACATAGCCAAAGTTTTCTCCTGAAAATCAAACTAACAGAGTCCCATGGTTCCTCTCATGCCATCTGTTAGCTACTTCTTTTCAAGAAGACAGCACCACTTCCAAATCTGTAATGGATCGTTATGGACAAGAGAGACACTGGAAATGTATAGATCTTCAAGTAAATGCATGGAGAGGAGATGAGGGAGACTGTGCTGTCACCATCAATGACTGGCAGTGTACCTGAACTTCAGAACATCCAAATGTGATTTCATGACAATGTATATGGGGGTTACCTATGAAATCCAGAAGCTGTTTGCCAGCTGTGACCTTCTATATCTTGATGAAAATATTTTTCCATTGCCATCTGGTCCCCACAGCTGAATTAACAGACCTAGGAGTGGCTTTTTTCTAAAAGTGATTGTATTGCTATTGAAAAAGTGGTATTGTATCTGATAATGCTTGCCAGTTTTCAAGAGTTTACTAATAAAATTGCGTATGGGGAATTTCTGACTCAAACTGTTGATGAAACCCCTATTTCTGTTTTCACAATGGTTGTTGGCATTCACAAAGAGAAAGGTTGATTCCTCAGTGTGCTGCAAGTTAAGTACTTTCTTAACTGTGTGCCCGATTAACCAATTTTAATGGAGTATGAAGTCCTGGATTTTTCAGAAAATCTTGCTTGTTTTCAGTAATGAGTAAGGGCGAAATTAAAAGGATAGTAGTAGAAGGAAGTGTCTTGCTTCAGGGCATGGAGTGATTGCTACCTGGGGAAGGGTCAGGAAGGAAAAACTTTCTCATGTACAATATTGCACAGCTGGATGTATGTATTACTGGGCAGGGGGAAGAACCAGCAATGTGATACCTATAGCATCAGCACTCCTTTTATTATCCCCAGAGACTCACCCTACTCCCTAAAAACATAAATAATGAAGCCTTTGACTGGATATTTGCATTGTAGAAAATAAGTGTTTAACTACCACGTAAGCAGCTGCAGGATGACAATGGAGCATGCCTTTGGGAAATTGAAAGGTAGATGGCAGGTACAAACTAGAAGGCTTGAGGCAACTAAATAGTACCTGTCTGGAATAATAACTGTGTGCTGTGTTCTGCACAACATCTGTGAAAACAAGGATGGGGCTTTGCTGAGACCTGGGAGGCAGGTGTGGGAATATTTTCAGCATGCAGGATTTGAGCGACACACAAGGTGTTCCCTCCTAAATGACAGTTGTTAGAATTTTATATATTTTGCAAGAAAGGATGGATGCTTTTGATATGGTGTGGGGAATATGGGGGCTATGTGGTGTGATTTGGCACACCACAACTTTATGAAATTCGGTAGAATAATACATCTGTCAGTTTGGGCTATGTGTTTGAGTGGGATTTCTTTGTAATCAGGCAGAGATGATCTGTTGCAAATGCCATGATTTACAAGATTTAAACTTGAGTATTTTTTAGGTTATGATACATGATAAATGGGCTTATTTAGACACTGGAGGTCTCATTGTATGCACATGGTCTATGCTGTGCATGCTTTGCACACATTGCTTCAAGATTTCAGTTTAAATTTTAGCACAGCCTCACCAGTTCTTTCTTTGCTCTTTAAGAGTGATGCTGCCCTGGCCTGTCAGTTCTTTTTTCCATTTCTCTCTACTCTCTCTTTGGCTTTTTCTTGCTCCGTTAGAAACATTTGCAAAATCCCTGCACTCTCAAGTTTTCCCAACACTGGCAACAAAGGGAAAGTGTAAGCACAAATCCTTTTAGTTATGAAATGTAAACAGTTATTGGTTGGTTTCCAAAACAGCAAAAATGTAAAAAGCTCCTGTAAAATTTGGAAGGCGGTGCCTTAGAGGTTTTTCTTCAACTCTAGGGAGATTCTGGTGTTGATAAATCTTTTCCAGCTTTCTTTCAATATTTTTGCAAGCTGGATTTGCTACTATGCTAAATTTGATTAGCATGGAGAGGCTATGTGAGACAAGAGGCCCTGAGCCCATTAACCACGTGGTTCAGAGAAGGTTATGGTGAGGCTGGTCTAGTTGTTTGAACTTTTACAGGCAGCTTTTAACAGTGGATAGCACCCCCACTTTGTGTAGTGAAACACCACCTTTTTTTTTTTTTTTTTTTTTTTTTTTTTTTTTTTTATAGGGTTGTAGTTTGTGATGTCTGGCTTCCAGCGATTCATGTGGCTGGAAGAGGAACAGCCGCTGTTCAGGAGTGACAGAGAAGGTGGTCCTGACTTGAATGCCTGTTAAGAGGTTGCTTTGTGTAACTAATGTGTGCTTTTTAGATTCAGCTTCAGGATGCAGACATGCTCCAAGTTTTCTATGCAGTTAATTGAAAGAGTTTAAGGAGGTTGGAGAGGTAACAATGTTTCTTCCTACTAATTTGCAATTTCAAGGTACTGTCTCCTTGTACTTTGCTCGTAACTGCAGTACTTTTAAACCACATTGATTAAGGTTCTACTGTTAAGTAAAGCCTTTTAAGATTTTCACTGATATCAGAAAGCCTTTATGGAACCTTACTAAAGGAGGAAAAAAGCCACAATGAGCTTTTAACTGAAGAGAAAATGTCTTGCTAAGATTCGTCAAGATAACAAACGTGATGGTTTTGTGATTTAATTCCTTGCATGATCAAAATGCCGTGCGTACTTTGTAACGAGACCATACAGTGCTTGTTTTTCAGTAAACTCTCTTTTCTGTTAGCAACTTAGTTTTAATCCAGGGTGGTAAAGAACAGACTATG